TTTTTTTTTTTTTTTTTTTTTTTTTTTGTAAAAAGACAGACAGTTGAAGTTTGTTTTGTTTTGTTTTGTTTTTGTGAATGAACAGAAATGTGGAAACACTGATGTAGAAGGTGTTGACTCGACCAATGCTTGTTATGGTGGAACTGCGGCTTTGCTAAACTGTGTCAATTGGGTTGAGAGTAACTCCTGGGATGGACGCTATGGCCTTGTCATTTGTACTGACAGTGCGGTATAGCATCCACTTAGATTTTTTCCTTTCATGCCTAAGAGTCTTTGCATAAACCTTCACATGTTTATATATTTGAATGCTTTCAGGTTTATGCAGAAGGACCTGCAAGGCCCACTGGAGGAGCAGCAGCAATTGCTATGTTGATAGGACCTGATGCACCTATTGTTTTTGAGAGCAAACTGAGAGGAAGCCACATGGCTCATGTCTATGACTTTTACAAGCCAAATCTTGCTAGCGAGTACCCGGTAAGTCTTCAATGCATAAACCTCAAGTGTTTGGCACAGAGAGAATGAGATTATTATTTGTTTTCTTGTAGGTTGTTGATGGTAAGCTTTCACAGACATGCTACCTTATGGCACTTGACTCCTGCTATAAACATTTATGCAACAAGTTAGTATTTTTTTGTTCTTTTTTAACTGTTAGAAAACTAAGTTTATTTCTTCTTCTGGTGTTCTGTGTTGCTCATTTCAATTCTTTGGTGGTTCTTGTCAGGTTTGAGAAACTTGAGGGCAAAGAATTCTCCATCAATGATGCTGATTACTTTGTTTTCCATTCTCCTTACAACAAAGTAATCTCTCAATCCTACAAGAAGACTAGTTGTGTTCTAACTACCTGAATTGTCACTGACCAATCTTCTTGTCTTTACTATTGCAGCTTGTGCAGAAAAGCTTTGCTCGTCTCTTGTACAACGACTTCTTGAGAAACGCAAGGTTTGATCTTGCTTATTGAATTTGCCTCTCTGGACTGGAAGTTCTACTTGCGTATATATTATGAGTAACATATATATACGACTTCTTATGTTGCAGCTCCATTGACGAGGCTGCTAAAGAAAAGTTCACTCCTTATTCGTCTTTGTCCCTTGATGAGAGTTACCAAAGCCGTGATCTTGAAAAGGTTTTCATCATTTCCCTTTCTTTTGTTAAAAAAAAAACAGAGTTGTAGCTTAATCTTTGCGTCTGTATTTTGCAGGTGTCACAACAACTAGCGAAAACGTATTATGATGCTAAAGTGCAACCAACGACTTTAGTACCAAAAGAAGTCGGTAACATGTACACTGCTTCGCTCTACGCAGCATTTGCTTCCCTCATCCACAATAAACACAGCGATTTGGTAACTAAAAGAAAGAAAACAAATAATCTCAGTGACTATTGAAACCCATTCTTACATTTGGTATTGATATTTATTACATTTGTGTGTGTTTGGTTCTGGATATATAGGCGGGAAAGCGGGTGATTATGTTCTCATATGGAAGTGGTTCAACCGCAACAATGTTCTCGTTGCGTCTCTGCGAAAACCAGTCTCCTTTCAGCTTATCAAACATCGCTTCTGTAATGGATGTCGGTGGTAAATTGAAGGCTAGACATGAGGTAACAAAAACAAAAGGGTGCACCATCCTTTTTTTTTGATACTTAATATCTGTAATCTTGCATGATTGTATATCTTCTTGGCCTTGTTTATTTTCAGTATGCACCTGAGAAGTTTGTGGAGACAATGAAGCTAATGGAACATAGGTACGGAGCAAAGGAGTTTGTGACGAGCAAGGAAGGTATTTTAGACCTTTTGGCTCCCGGGACTTATTATCTGAAAGAGGTTGATGCATTGTACCGGAGATTCTATGGCAAGAAAGGAGATGATGGATCCATAGCCAATGGACACTAAATCACTTAAACAGTGGTCTTCGCTTATCACTCTTTATCTTACTTCCCAACATTTTAAACGTTTTTATAAGGTTCTTGTTACTTTGATTTAGGGGCGAAGTTTGTATGCTCTGTTTTTTTTTCTCACTATTGATTTGCTTTTTCAAGCTTATTTTGTATGTTGTGTTTTCTAAACTAAGTCCGTTAAATTTATGAGTTATTAAGAATTTAGTAAGTTAGAATAAACCTTTAAATTGTTCATATGGGGTTTTATACGGTGTTCTTATTTTGGTTGTCTACTTATTATAAACTTTTAGAGTTTTAACTATGATAAGTCTATTCTAGTTACATCGTTATCCATTATTTAAACGGAAATGGGTAAAGAAATCCTGACCTTTACTTGAAACATAAAATAAACTGACATTTTTTGTGGGTTTTAAAGCATTGACCTTGTAAAAAACTTGTAAATGGTCTCTCATTTTACATACCACAATGATGTCAAGTTTTAGAAAAATGTAAAATTAGCGAATCAGCAAGCGTACGGTTTTGTGTCCATAGGCTATATAGTTTTTAAATAATATAGCTGGTAAAACCTTTCTGTAACAGATTAAAATTATAAAAGATAAAATTATCTTAAAAACAAAGAGTCAAAATAAATAACTAGAAACTTGTTAAATGCTAAAAACATGACACAAAGTAGTACAATGCTATCTATATTCAGCTTGTTTTGTTCGTGTTCTATGAACAGTGAAGAAGGTAACACGATGTTAGTACTCATGTCTCAAACGCTCTGGCCGACACATACAAAGTCATCCGCTGTTAATGGACTATGAACAACACCACTACTTTCTATAAGAACATTTAGTTGGTTAGAAAATATTCATTTTTTAGAATTACAGTCTTTGGAACAAAGATTCAAACTACTGATTTCACAACAAAAGTTATGAAAACATTGTCATAACTGAAGCATCTAAGCCTCCTAGAATGTGATATGTATCACAAAGATGTTGTGGATGAGATTGAGAAGTTGCATATGGAAAGTTTGCAGGCTAGGAATGATATACCTTCATGGAAAAATGCAGAAATAAAATTTGCTAATAAGTTCTCCTCAAAGAAGATTTGGTTGCAGTTGCAAACTAATCATCAAGTTTGTATTTGGAGTAGAGGAGTATGGTTTCCTCAATCCACTCTGAAATACTCTTTTATGCTCTGGATTGCAATGAGAAACATAATGCAAACAAGACACAAAATGCAAGCTTGGAGTACTTCCATAAACACAGAATGTGTTTTATGTCATGAGGATCGAGAAACATGCCAACATATGTTCTTTAGCTGTTCTTATTCCTCCAAAGTATGGGAATCTTTGGTAAAAGAGCTCTTAAAAGAAGAGTATACAACAGATTGGAGTGTTATAGTGACCATGATCTCTGCTTCGAGTTATCTACCCACAGAAATGTTTCTTCTTCGATAATCACTTCAAACAGCAGTACATAGTATATTTGTGGGAACCGAAATCCACACTGTCGATTTTCCGTCAAATATGGAAACTTAGGATGAAACCCTAATTTTTCCGAGGTCCTGGATCTCTGCGGAAATCATTAAAACAAACGAATTTAAAAGAATATGGATGAACAAAGAACAAAGGAATAAGAACTTTGTATGAAAGCTTTTATTAAATGAAGAATCAACAACTGTTACAAGAAGAATTGAAGAACTTAGACGTCGAAACGTTCTAAAGGTCTAGATTGCTATTCAAAACGGTAAGTCCTAAATTCCTAAGCTAGCAGCCGTCTTCTTAGGTCTGATTTCTTGTCCCCCTCTTCTGCCCCACGCCTCTGGTTTATATACTCCTTGCCTTGACGGTTTGATCTTTCCATTTTGCTCGGATTTGAGTACATCGGGAATCTTCCATTTTTCTCGATCCTTCCTTTTCTTCTGCGGAAATCTTCTATTTATCTTCAAACCTGCCTTTTTCCTTCTGCGAGTAAACCGTCAAAACGTTATCGAATCTTCGGGTTAGATTCCGTTAAGATCGCGAGATGGGTTTTTATCGTGTTTTAGGTCCTTCCGGGCCGTTTTGCGATAAGTCCGTTTTCTGACTTTTTACGGGATCGTTTCCTGATCTGACATCGTTTTTAATAAATTCCTCGAGCTAATCGTAAGGTTTTACGATTTACTCGACTTTTTTTATTAAAAACACGTTTTTTACGATTTACTCGACGTTTTTTATTAAAAACGCGTTTTTTATGATTTCAACGAGAAATCTCGAATAAATCGTATAGTTTAGGTAATGTCCGGTGTTTCGTTTAACCGTTGCCGTTTTATACGATTTCCTCGAGATTTTTGTCGAGAAGACGAAGTTTTACGGTTTTTATCGTAAAACTCGAACGATAGGTCAGATCGAGGTGGAACGGGAGATGTTTCGGCCGTGGTTCAGAATGCGACCGTGTCGAAAGACGTAAGTTTCGAATCGGGGGTGCGGGAGATCGAGGCGCGGGATATCCGGGAAGTCTCTAGTTCACCCATCGGCGAACTAAGCCGGGCCGGCTTAGTTCGCCCGTGGGCGAACTAGTCGTGACTAGTTCGCGTTTTACGGCTGTTTCGGTTTTTTGCGGTTTCGTAAATCGATTCTTCGAGTTTTATAAAACGATTCTTCGAGTTTTATAAAACGATTCTCGAGTTTTATAAAACAATTCTCGAGTTTTATAAAACGATTCTTCGAGTTTTATAAAACGATTCTCGAGTTTTATTAAAACGACTTTCCGTTTTAATAAATGACTTTTGCAGAAAGTAATGATTCCAGAAGTTATCGTAGAAGTTGATTTCGGGATTACGGTTTTTGACACCAACAGTTAGCCCCCCAGCCTGCAATTCTCTGAGGAAATCTTGCGGGCGGATGGAGTTAGTTTTTAAATCGGAATCTACGGCTAAGATTTGTCTCATTACGAGGAAGAGCTCTTTTTTTTTCTATAAGTATTGGATCATTACTTCTCATATCTTCCACCTCTCAAGTTTCTCTCCAACTTCTCTCTAGAAAAATTTTAAGATGTCTTCTTCCCAAGGTGATCAACGAAACTGTGAGGTCCCATCCAATGACAACCCTACGGAACATCCGCAGGATGCTCGGATTTCTGAGTTTCTCTTGTTTCAAGACGAGATGGACCGTAGCGATGCTGAGGAAGATGCTGCGTCGGGCGACGTACCATCGTTAGATCCATCCGTCCTTGCGAGAGAGGTCAAGGCTATTTTGGACGAAACGACCGATACGGTAGCGGATTCTTCGACGGGCGCTACTATCGAACCGTTGGGTGCGCCTGCTGTTTCGCCCCTCCTTGCAGCCGAAAACGTTGCTACTTCTGCTGAGGTCGGAATAGCCGTAGCTCCCCCCACGGTGGAGTCGGTCGTGTCTCCGACCATGGGCGAACCGGTTGCGACTCTTACTGCTGTCGAGTCAGTTACGACTCCTGCCGCAGTTGGACCGGCTGCAGCTCCTGCTGCGGCTGATCCAGTCACGATTCTAGGGCCTCCTGCTCCGGTCAAGAGGGTGATTGTCCTGGGACTTCCAGCGCTTAGCGCGACGCTGCCCGCTTCAGCGAAAGGCCGCAAGGGAACTCGTCCGAACGCTGATGTTCCCGCGAGAAAGAGAGCCGTGAAGGGTTCCGAGACTGGAGCTTCGTCCAGCAAGACACCGAGCTTGATGTCGATGTCGCAGCAGCGTACCAAGGTACAGGTTCGCAAACATACGTTTTTAAGAAAATATTCGTAGCTGACCATCTTTCTTGGTTTTTCCAGTTTGTTTCGTTGATCGATGGGATGATCAAAGAGTGCGGGTCCGAAGTCGAGCGTTTAGCCAAGGAGCTAGCCGAGTCGCAGGAGAGGTCAGCTCAGCTCGAGGGAAAATTGAAGGTGATTGAAGACGTGCGTTCCGCGGAGGTGTCTCGATTTGAAGCTCGGATTAGCGATCTGGAGCGTGATCTCGGAAAGACTGCGGTCTCTCTGATCAAGGCGAAGGATGAAAAGAAATCCAAGACTTCGGAGCTGCGCAGGCTTCAGCGCAAGATGAAGAGTTTCGAGGAATCAGCTGTCCATGTGACTGAAAGATCTATTCCTGTCGAGGGAAGTGATTCCGACCCGACTCTTGCTGCCAAAGACGTACCTCAGCCTGATGCGGACAATGGTGACGACCCGGAGGTTGCTGGTGAAGGTAATGCGATGGATGAGGATGAGGCTCCGTGCGCGGAGAGTGTTTGAAGTTGTAGTCTCTTACGAGATTTTTTTTTAAAAATTAGATTTTTATGTATTTGGCTGAGCGCGGCTTTTGTACTTGTTTGGGACTGGATTTTTATGGCTTTGAATCCCTTGTTGCTTCGGCAACTTTTGATTTTCGTAATGGACAATCGGTTTTTATTTAAACCTTCCGTTTAGAGTTGATATTGCGGGAGGTCCGCGAGTTGTCGTCTCGCATTCCATTCCCTTAGTGGATCGCCTTGTTCGTTTGTCCGTTTTAGGATGTTTAGTAAATCGAGTGAGCGTTTAGATATAGACGAAGAGACATGCCTTTAGGATCTCGATTCATGCCTTGAGACGTTAGCGACCAGTGTGCTGGGTTTAGGGCAAGACCTAGGTTTACTTTCGGATTAAGGCTGTGCGATGACTAGTCGGCTTTTGTTTTTCCCGTTGCGATTTTAACCTGATTCCATACCGATTTAGAATCCGCGATAGGTTCTCGGCTTATACGATTCGTCTGGTTGGAACCGAGCATCTCACCGGGAACAATTTCTAAGTTGCCCGGAAGTGCTGAACAAAAGTTTGGATTTCTTTTATAGAGCTATTACCCTTGTGTCGGGTGTTCGAGAGCTATCTCTGCGAGATAACTTAAGTTTGTTTAAGACTGTTGCGAGTTCGTTGTGATCAGCAACAAACTATTTTTAAGCGATAGATGTTTGCGTAGTTTTGGGCCTTCGCGAAGGATACGTGTGTTAAGAAGTTTTGCGTATTTTATAGTCGCGGACGGACTGTTTA